AGCATTTACCTAGCATGTGTGAGGCACTGGGTTTGATTCTCAGTACCACATATAAATAAATAAAATACAAGTCCATCAACAATTGAAAAAAAAAAAAGACCCTATTCTAATTTAGTCTTTTCTATATCTGGTGAACATTTCATTATCCCAGTGCAGGCTTACCATGTCTAATTGTACAATTATTTTGTTTTTTAGCTTTTGATTTTTGCCTTTATCCACCAGACCATAAGATCAAACATCTGTTTGTTAAAGCAGTAAGTTATTGAAAACTGAACTATCTTCTAGGGTATTTGGGAAAAGGATTATTACCCCATGTCATAAAAGCAGACACTGAGGTGCAGAGAGGATAACTTGCTGGCTGTATGAACTAAGAAGCTGACCTGGGCCTTGAGCCACCTGAATCCAAGTGTTCCATCCACCTCCAGTTGCCCTGGGACATAACTGGAAAGTGGATAGGACAACCCCAGGGAATATTTCTGAGGCAACTAAGGCAGGCAGTTATAGAGTCCAACAGAGAAGATTTCTAATGTGACCTTGGACTGACTACCAATGGTGATTTTCCTTTGAACACTTCTCTTTACTTCACTCTAATTAGTTTTCATCACTGAATTGGGATAATATTTCAATCAGGTACACCTAAGGAACACTTGATAACAAGACAATGAATACCTTGAAATCCAGTCTGTGCTTGTATTCCTTGCCATTGTGCCCCATGAACTAGAATACTTCCTGGTACATGGTAGGCTCTCACTAAATATTGTGAATAATATGGGGAAGGAAGAAGGGTATAAACATGGCCATCTTCTCTGTCAACTGGTAAAGCTTTTCCATTAATTCTCAAGTCAGATCCCTCAGGTTAATCACATATGGATGCTGAGGTCCAAGCTCTTCCCTCACTCTTGTATTCCTCAACCATGGAATTATAAAGAAAGGGAACAACTGGATACTCAATGTTGACTGGAGGTTTGGGGCAGGAGAGTGAAACAGAAGATCTTGGACAGGATATTTGGCAGCTCTGTGGCTTCAGTTGGAGCAGCAAGGAGTCATGCTGGCCAGGCTCAGGGAATATAGGACATTGGAAGCTTACTCCCATTACTACCCCTAGTCCTATGAGCAAAAAGAGGGAGCTCAAATTCAATCTCATAAGCAAAAGTGTCAATGTTCAGGTCCGAGAGACATAAGAAATCAAAAAAAAAAAAAAAAAAAAAACAAGTAAATCCTGGAGTGATTGCCCCAAAGCAATACCTGCTTCAAGATATCTCATCAGAATCCACAGCCTCTCCTCTGCTTTTCTTTGCTTATAAACTCAACCAGAAAGCTTGTGGGAGGAAAAATATTGATTTCATTTTTACTATAAACTATGGCACCCAAAAACTGAACTTGCTGTAGTCAAGATGGAAATCCAGCCACTCCAGAGTTTTACCCATTCCCTCTCTCCCTCATTCACCAAATTAGTCAGTATTTATTAGTCACCATCAGTAGGCACAGGCTTCTGTTCCATGCAGTGGGAAGCATAAGGACATACAATGCCCAGTAACAACTTTCCAGAAGTCTTGGTTGAAGTGTCTGAATACCAAATAAATGGACAAGGTATTTACTTATTAATAAATATTAATGATGCAAAGCAAAATTTGTGTAAGAGTTAAACTTATAGAGAATATAGATACAGTTCTATATTCTCTTTTTATCACTTTCTTATAAGCTTTACTTATGTCCTTCAAAATTCTTCATATGACTATGCACGTTTAATCACATGTTTTTCCATACATCTTCTCATAGGGGCTACCTTGGATATTGAGGCTTGAATTTGTGCTTATATGTGGAGTAGATAATCTGTCACATCTCCTGCTACTTAGAACCACTGGATAAAATATAGCAAACATAAAATACCTCCTAGAACATTTGAGACCTTCAATGTAAGATATGTGCCCAGTGGAGTGTCATGAGGCTCAACCTAGTCCTCATCTCCTTTGTGCTAATGTATAACAGCTAAGTCTTTGGATCAAGACTGACAGGTAGAATCCTGGAAGCACCTCTTATCAACTGGGTAAGGCTGAGAAAGCAACTAACCTGTCCTGCCTCATATTTCCATCTATAGTATGAGTTGTTTTGTTGTTGTTGTTGTTGTTTATCTGTTCTGTTGTGATGAGGAGCAGGTAAAGTCCTTTGCTCTTTGCCCAGCATATACTTACTAAATGTTAGCTTTTACCATACTATGAGCCCCACTAAAAAGAAGAATTCAGGATTTAGAGAGGGCCAGAAAAACTCACAACCACATTTCAAAGCCAGACTCCGACTCCACATATCTTCCCACTACTGTCTCTTATCTGTAGATGAAAAGTTGGTGCTGAGCCAAGTAAGGTAAGAGTCAAGGTCCAAGAGTCCCAGGTCAGGGAAGAAGAGTAAAGTTAATGATGAAAAATAACCACAGAATTAGAGGAAAGTTCCGTGGAATGGGATGTAAATAGCTGCATGCCCTTTCCCCTGGCTTTTTGTAGGATAAAGAAGGGCGGGGGGAGCTAGTCCCATGGTTTATGTAATGGATTACTTGTTATTAGGAAAGGTAAAGGTGAAGGTTGTTGGAAACATTTCAGAAGTTGTCAGGGGAGGCAGTTTTATAGTCCAATAGAGAAAAATTCTAATCCTACCACAGACTATCAATGGTCATCTTTCTTTTCAAAAAAACATCACTTTGCCACTCTGCCATCAATTTCTTATCACTAAAATAAGAATAATAGTTCAACCAATCATACTTACTGAACATTTGGTAAACTAGATTATGAATTCTTTTAAGTCAGGATTCATGTCTATTTTTATTGCTTTGTGCCTACTACCTACCATCCTGCCTGGTTCCCAGGAAGTACCCAGTGGATTGTCATTAGCAGGATGCCAGATTAGAGCTACCAAGCACATTCCCTCCACAACCAAGGATTAAATCAAAGAAAACAAAACTACCATCTCACTGGAGTGTTTGAAGAAAGTGTAGGAGTACAGGGTCATGATGGAGGCCACACAGCCTACATATCCAGGATGGCTTTCTAAAGAAAGTACCTACCATCACATCTCTCCAAGCAAGGTAAAACCTAAATTTCACACAGTAAATATGAGGCCCACAGCAGTCCCCAGTAAACCCTCCAATACCTGAAGAATTTGCTACTGGATAAGCCTGCAACCTTCACAGGGTGTTCAGAGCTGCCAGAGAATCTACACTGATTCAGTACCCCCAAAGGAAGAGTCCTGCCCATTTTCTGCCCTCCACTACACATGCTTATACTGAGCAACAGCAACCTTGAGGCTCACTCAAGTGTAGTCCTATGATGCAGCAAGTCCACCAAGACTACAGAAAGAACCTCAGGGACCTCTTCCACCCACCAGCAGCCCTGGTAAACAGCTGGGCAGCCCCCTCTGAGTAAACCATTGGGCTAACTCCCCATGAAGGAACCTGTGCAGCCCTTAGAAATTGGCTGACACCAAACCCGGGCCCACGGATGCATCTCACTGGTGATAGATATTTTCAGGACACAGCTGAGGAGTGCCCACTCCTCCTGCTGTGAATGCTCCATTCATCCAGGCCTGCCAGCGGGGCCTGACTCTAACATTTTCTCACTCAAATGTGAAAGCTAAGAAGTTGGTTTTATAGAAGTAGAATGTAAAACAGTGGCCACTACAGACTAGGAAGGGTGGGGGGAAGAGGGATAGAGGGAGTTTGGATCAGGGATGCCAAACTACATTTAGGAGAGAGGTTTAGGTACCACCACAGCACAGGGGGATAACTACAGTTCAAAAAAATTTATTATATATCTTATAAAGACATAGAAGAGTTCAAAGTTTACCAGAAGAGAGAAACAATAGCCTGAAGAGCCAGCCTTCTAGTGGAAGAGGGGAAACTGAGGATGTCCTCAGGTCACAGCTAAGCAGCCTCCTGTAATCTGTTCCAACACCCCCATTGGCACCAAGACAAAAGGAAAAGAGTGTGAGGTCAGAAAGTGGTCAAGCGTCCTCGCTTACAGTACATGAAGAACATGACCAAAAAGGCTCCTGCAGCAGAGGGGTTAAAAACCAGTGGGAGGTGTGTAAAGGCGGAAGGAAACCCTACCTGCTCCAGAAAAGTAAAGATAGCATGGGATGGAGAACAGTCACGCTCAGTTCAAAGGAGGGGCACCTAAGAATTCATTGATAATGTGCCAAGGAAGGGAGAAGCTACAGGAAAAGGCTTGTGAGCTGAAGCTAAGACTTCTCCCATCAGAGGCAGTAGGAGCTGGCAAATGTGCCCAAAGCCCACATGGGCATGCTCAGCCCCCTCGGGAAGTGGCTGAATGCTTCACGGAGCAATGCAAGACACTCATTCACCACAGCCCTGGACGCCAGGCAGCAACAGCTGCCCATGTGATGGATACACCTAGTGGGAGACTGGCAGCTGTGGTACTTAGATGCTCTAAATTGATGAGCACTCACCTCCTACCAGGAGAACTTGGCATGGGCAATTCCGATGTAAATATGCAGGTGTTGGACTTCCTGAGTGAACTCAAGGAACTCTCTGCTGAGACCAGGAAAGTGGCAGCCTTAATAAACCATGAAGTCTGGGGAAAAGCCCAGGGCATGGCGACCCTCACTTCAGACACGTTTTAGCAGAATAGCTATTTTTGTGTGATAATCTTGTTAGATAGTTAAAAAAAATAAAATAAAACTTTTGCAGTAGAAAAAAAAGAAATGATAAATATGTAAGAAGAAAGAAATGATAATTACCCTGATTTGATCAGAACATACTATATTCATGTACTGAAATATCACACTGTACCCCATAAGTGTGTACAAAAAATTAATACAGAGAGGGGAAAGTGGGTGTGTGCATGACCGTTACCACAGTCAGCTGACTAAAACTTTCTGCCTCCCAAGGAGAATCGTGTGGATGTTTCAGGTTAATCGACTCTGGACTCAGGTCAAGCTCTGCCCTCATTTTCCAGGTGGGCGGGGAAATCCTCCCAGAGCATAAGTACTGGAAGTCAAGGGTGATAGCAACAGACAGTGATCCAGAAGCTGCTGCACCATGAATGTCTCTGCACTGAGCCTCACCAGACTCCCAGGGAGCATCTCTGGGTTCCTCCAGCTGGCCTCCCTGCTCAGCTTGCTTCTGTTCCTGTTCAAGGCAGCCCAGCTCTACCTGCGCAGGCAGTGGCTGCTCAAAGCCTTCCAGCAGTTTCCATCCGCACCCTCCCATTGGCTCTTTGGCCACAAGGTAGGAACCAATGGAAAGGGGAGTAGGAGGAAGGGAGGCTGTAGCCCGGAGACTGGCCAGGAAGTCCACGGACAAAGCCTGTTGCATGCACTGAGGAAACCCAGATTATCTCTTAGGTTTGGCCCATCCCAGCACCAGGAGCTCACTCCCTCAAAAGAAGCCTGTCCTGCTGTTACTCAGCTCTGTCACTCACTGCATCACCAGGCAGATCTGACATCTGTCCTGGCAGCCCTGCATTTGGAGGACTGTGGTTGGTCCTTTCTGAGTCTCCTCCTCTCCAAGCTGAGCACTGCTATCTTCCTCTGCTCTTCTCAAAGAACCAGCCTCCTAGATGCTCACCTGCCCCAGTCACTGAATGCCATCAGTACCTGATCTGGAGCTTGCCTCGATTTTTATGGAACCTCATAAAAATTGCCTTGAGGAATTATGCTGTGTGGTGACAATTTTAAAGACCCTCAAAAGACTTCAAACCACAGTAAAAGAGTTTACTTTGCTGGAGTGGGTGGGGAATGTCAAGTAGGGGGACCAACCAGCTAGGTTTGCTGAAGATCAAGGGAATTTTCACAATAGGTGATTTTTAGGGACTGAAACCCTGATGATCATAGGCCCATGTGAGTGGGACAGAAGCACTGTACCTTCCAGGTGAGGGAGACTGATGTTTGAGTTACCCTATTAGACAAGATCTGTTTAGCTCCAACTCACCCTACACTGTGAGGTTCTTTGCTGTAACTCAGTGCCCAGCACAGAGCCTGGCACAGGTGTGTAGAGTCACAGAAAAAGGAAGGAAAGAAGAAGCCAAAGGGCTGGGGAGGTGCAGTACCAACCCCCTATCCTGACAGCTCTGGGGAAGGAAGGCACAAAGCAATGTAAGGAGCACAGAGAGGGGCTCAGCAAGGGATTGTGCATTGAACACACTTAAGAGGAGGAGGAAGATATGGAGCTTATGTCAAGAACGAGGCTCTGATGCCAACAGCTCCATCCTACAGGGCCAAAGGATCCCAGCTTTGAGCAAGTGCTGGGAGACACCAAAGTTCTGGAAGTCAGCACAGATAGGTCAGCAAAAACAGCTCCAAATCTCTAACATCTCTTGAAAGATCCATAACTATGTCCTTGTGGTCACCCTGATCATCACTCTATTGCAAGGACTAGACCTAAACAAAAGATTTTATTCATTTGTCTTTCCTTTGATGACAGATCCAAAAGGATCAGGAGCTGCAACAGATTCTGTCATGGGTAGAGAAGTTCCCCAGTGCCTTTCCCCGCTGGCTCTGGGGCAGCAAAGCTCACATGGTTATCTATGACCCTGACTACATGAAGGTGATTCTGGGGAGATCAGGTGAGAGAGAAACCTCATTCTGGCAAGAGAAGCTCCTCCCTCTTTAGTATATGCCCCTGGTCTGTCATATTCCAGAGCAGAGTGATGCTTTAGCCATCAACCCTAACCACTACCAACCATTTACCCAGGCCACAACCCAACATATGGCCCAAATACTGGAGATATAACACAGCTGTGTGGAGGGAAACTTTTTTAACGTTTTTATCTTTCTTTTTAAATCAAATCTTGAGGCAATCTGTTATGCAAATTGCCCCAGATCCAAAAAAAAAAAAAAAAACCAAACTTCATATCCACACTGGCTTGTATTCGAAACCTCTAATTGTCACCTGTCTTGGGTCACAGGATGACTAAGCCACCATCCATTATAGAAAAACAATGAAGCTCTGTCCTGTTCTTTGGCACTGATGACATGGCCTGTTTCTCTTCATCATAGTCCTGGGGGTGTTCAGCTTCTGGTCTATGGAGCTGCCTTCCTGAGCCCAGCTGACTATCAGGACAGAGAAGGGATGGGAGGGAACGAATTGCCAACTGGTAGTCATCAAGAACTCGTGGCAGCACATGGTCTACACCACAGCTACCTTGGGACTGCACTGTTTGGTCCCCAGTTTCCTGTTAAACCTTTACTTTAAACCTTTCAGATCCAAAGGCCTCTGGTACCTACAGATTCCTGGCTCCCTGGATTGGTATGTATGTCTCTAGTTAGGTTTCCAGTGTTATTCTCTGGTTCACAGGATCAACAGGTGACAGGCCAAGGAATGTCCCATCCCCAAATCAAGTCTCATTTCTTCTAACCATACCCTCCTTCCTTCCTGTGCTGGTATGAGACCTCCTAGTCTTCTGCCATCTCTCTACTCCAAACATCCCAGGCTAACATTTAATTATGGCCTTTCTTTTCCTGCCCACAACACTTTTTCAGCCTTTATCTCACAGTTTTCATGATTGTAGCCAGATATACCAGCCCATTTAGGAAATTCACATTCCTGAAATGCACCATGTCCCTCCTTCCTTTGTCCAAGACATTCCACCTTCTTCAATGTTATCTTCCCCATCTCTACCCCCATAGTACCTCCCTAATTATCCCAGGGGTATCTCTGATTCTGTATCCTCAATCCACATACACTTATCCATCTCTGGTCCAGGATATGGTTTGCTCCTGATAAATGAACAGACATGGTTCCAGCACCGGCGGATGTTGACCCCAGCCTTCCACTACGACATCCTGAAGCCCTACGTGGGACTCGTGGCTGACTCTGTCCGAGTGATGTTGGTGAGTCTCTCTCTTTCATTTCCACTCACCCACTCAAGAGCCCCTCTCAGATTCCCCTGTCTAACACAGACAGCCATCAGACAGAGTCAGATGAAATAACACTCTCAGGACGGTACTTCCTAAAAATTAGATGGGACAGAGAGGACCCAGGCATCAGGATAGAGCCACACTTCACTTATGGTGCAAGTCAGAAAGCATCAAGGTGGATACAGACCCTGGATCCCACTTCCAAGTCTTCAGAACAGTAAACTGGAGGAGTAGTCAATCATGCCAGACAGCAGGACTGGCTGACCTGGGCAATGGCAGCTTCAAAGGCAGGCTAGAACTGCCAGGATGTCACTCAGTCAGGCTCTGACCTAAGGCCCGGGGCTTTTGCATGGACTTGAGTAACATATGCAATGAAAAGGATACCAGGTCTGCATTCTCACTGCCACTCTGCCATGCCATCAATTGCAACATAAACTCTAATTTATTTTTATTAGTGCACTTTTATTAGTGCTTATAGTTATACACAATTGTTGGATTCATTCTGGCAAAATCATATAGCAAAAAATTTAATTTTCTCCAGTTCAGTCACTGGTGCCCCTTCCTGTTCCTCCCCTCCTCCCTCCCCCTATTCTTCTTCCTCTTCTCTACTGGTCTTCCTTTCGCTCATTTATTTACTTATTTTTTGATCAGTGCTTTATAGATACACATAAAAGTGAAATTCACTGTGGTATATTTATACATGCACATAGCATAATTTTGTCAAATTTATTCCTAATTTCCTCTCCTTTCCCAACCCTCCCCTTCCCTCTCAACCCTGTCTTCTACATCACTGATCTTCTCTATATTTTTATGATATCTGACATCCCTTCCCCTTTTTCCTTATTTTGCTTTACCTTCCGCATATTACAAAAAAACATTCAACCTTGATTTTCTGAGTCTGGCTTATTTCACTTAGCATGATGTTCTCCAGTCCCATTCATTTACCAGCAAATGCCATAATTCTACTCCTCTTTGTAGCTCCATAAAACTCCATTATGTATATATACACCACATTTTTTTATCCATTTAACTGTTAACAGGCATCTGGGCTGGTTTTATGTCTTGGTTGTGCTGCTATAAACTATGAAGTGGCCGTATCACTATAGTATACTGATTTTAGACCTTTTGGATAAATACCAAGGAGCTGGATCATATGGTGGGTCCATTCCTAGTTTTTTGAGGAACCCCCATACTGTTTCCCAGAGTAGTTATATTAATTTACAGTCCCACCAACAATGTATGAGTGTACTTTTCCCCCACATCCTCACCAGGTTTTATTGTCATTTACATTCTTGATAATTGCCATTATTACAGGATTCAGATAAAACCTTAGTATAGTCAAAAGTCTGATTTCTGACCCAACTGTTCTCAGTAAACTTTTGTTGAATAAACAGAAATCAAAGTCCCTGGTGGCCCACTAGAAGTCCCAATAGCGGCAACTTAGATTTTAGGTTTTCTTTTGCCTCCAGACATTTGTCCCCTAAAATTAGAGTCCTACCAGTCCCTCAGATGGAGCTCAGCTCTATATTTTGCTGGTCAAACAAAACATTATAACTGACTTTCAAAATTCAAAATTTATTATAGAATACTATGCTTAATTTTTAAATAATTTGTGAAAATATAGGCACCATTTAACAAACATTTGTTTCAGCAGTTTTTAGTGCATCTGCTCTCTAAAGTGAGGGACATGGAATGGGATATCTGGAGATGCATAAGCCTTCTAGGGAAAATGAGAAGATCATTGCCCCTATCCCACAACAGGACAAATGGGAAAAACTCATTGACAAGGACTCCTCTGTGGAGGTCTTCCAGCACATCTCCATGATGACCCTGGACTCCATCATGAAGTGCGCCTTCAGTTACCAAGGCAATGTCCAGTTGGACAGGTCAGTGACAACCCTTCAGCTACAGAGTCCTTGTTCTTAACCAATTGGTGTAGACTCACCTGAGAGGCAGAAAGATCAGTATGGATGATCACCCCCACAAAAAGAGAGATTCTGACCCCAGCCCCAGACCAAGCCCTAATTCCCTACCAAAATCAACCCTGTCCCAGCCACAGAACCCTGATCCCCAATACAAGGTCTGTAAGGCAGAAGTAATGTGTATCTTAGTGTTGTCTGTCCCCACAATTCAGGAAAACTCCACAACAGAGCCCACTCTGCCTGCAGGTCCTCTCTCTTCACAGTCCAAAATGTTCTGCATCCTCTCCCTCAGGCATTCCCAGTCCTACGTCAAAGCCATTGGGGACCTGAACAACCTGTTTTTTGACCGTGTAAGAAATGCCTTTCACCAGAACGACACCATATATGGTCTGTCCTCTAATGGCCGTTTGTTCCACCGTGCCTGCCAACTTGCCCATGAGCACACAGGTTCTGTCTCCTCTTTGCCTCCTCTCCTTTACCAGGGGCAGTCTAATAGAGCTGGTCATGACCCCTCAGGCACAGCCAGGTCCTCTGGTATTCCAGCAGGACTTGGGACACACAAACACTGAGTACTTCCCTACTGCAAGGGTTGGGAGCTGAAATGTTAAGGTGCAAGACGGTGTGCAAGGGATTACTTGTGCCATCTCATTGGTAATATTGATGAGACCCATCCCGAAAGCTTATACAAATACTTTATGTGCTGTACTCTAGACGGGAGGTTTGACCTGCATTTGATTGTTCTGGGCCCCCTGACTCACACACCACACTCATCCTGAGTTCTACGAGGCACCCAAATTGGTGCAGGGAGGCACATGGGGCTTCTGGGGGTTTCTATGGCTCTCAGCCCTGCCTGGTAACTGCTGTTCTGGGACAGACCAAGTGATCAAAGAAAGGAAGGCTCAGCTGCAGAATCAGAGAGAGTTGGAGAAGATCAGGAGGAAGAGGCGCTTGGATTTCCTGGACATCCTCTTATTTGCCAAAGTGAGTATGTGGGAAAGAAACCTGGGGCTTTGCCCAGGGGAGGGAGTTTACAAACCCTGCTCTCTTATCTATGGCCTCCCCAGATGGAGAATGGGAGCAGCCTGTCTGATGAGGACCTGCGTGCCGAGGTGGACACCTTCATGTTTGAGGGCCATGACACCACAGCCAGTGCTATCTCCTGGATCTTCTATGCTCTGGCTGCACACCCTGAGCATCAGAAGAAGTGCAGGGAGGAGGTCCAGAGCCTCCTGGGGGACGGAGCCTCCATCACCTGGTGAGTGAGAGCTCAAGAGGTGGGAGAGCCCTGCCTCTGGTAGGGACAAGGTGCTAGTCTTCCCAGGTCCTGCCTTCTGCTCAAGATGGCCTCACTTCAGGGACCACATGGACCAGATGCCCTACACCACCATGTGCATCAAGGAGGCCCTGAGGATCTACCCACCAGTACCAGTTGTTGTCAGAGAGCTCAAAACACCTGTCACCTTCCCTGATGGACGCTCTTTACCCAAAGGTATGATCTTCCCAGACTCATTCACATAAGATCTCCCCAGAGATAAGAAGGATCAGAAATCCCCACGTGCTTCAGCAGTTCTGAACCTGTCTATGCCTCCCTGTGTATTTTCCAGTACATATGCCCAAATGACCTATAAATTTCCTTCCAATTCTAATAGTCCACATAACTAGCATCCTAAACTTATCTTGTTCTTTAGCTAACATTCCTTCTTCTTTAGAATCTTTGGTCTTATCGTGCTATAGTTAATTTTAGTCTGTTGGCACTGATGTTCTTTGATTCTAGTTCAACATTGTAGGAATCATGGGCATCCATGATGTTCATATGTCCTCACTGTCATATCATTTTTATCATCCTCTATATTTGTGAAGAAATATAGAGGATGTATAATGTGCAGAAAAATTGGTGAAATGAAAATAATTATGTGCACATATCTATAAATGTGATGCATCTCAATCCCTGGAAACTTCTCTACAGAGATGTCAGCCTCTGGATGTAATATCTCATGACTTTAGCTCTAAAATTCTATTTCCTGAGATATGGAAGGTAGACAGGGGCTAGGGAGAAGTGGTTCTTTCGTTCAGTCAAGGAAAATAAAAGAAATCAGCAAATTTCATGGCATGGGTCAGATGTGGTCCAGTCCCTCAGGAGCCTCAGGTTGATGACAGAGAGCAGCTTATGACTGGATATGAGATCCCTGCCATGGTAGCCAACCATCTGTTGGCTCATACCTCCTTAGGTCTGAATCCCAGCCCTGCCACATCCTACCTATGTGATCATAGGCAATTCCTCTCTGAAATTTAATTGCCTCATCTGAAAAATAGGGATCCCGCCATCTTCCCTGGTGGGTTGTTGTAAGGACTAAATGAATTAATGTGTACTCCTCAGTGGGAATTTTTCAAAAACATAAGCTCCCACTAGATTTATTCCCAAAAGTAAGGTACGATGCTTTCTTGCTTCTCTCTTGGATTTGTGGTTTTCTACTCCTTGCCAGGGCTCAGGTGTTTTGTCAAATCCACACACGTTCTGCTCAAAGTCATGCTTTATAGGAACAGCCTTCTGTGCATGCATGTCCCCTGCTGGCTGGAGGATCATGGCCTCACCCCATGGGCATCATCGATCTTCTCTCTGCCCCACAGGCATCATAGTCACACTGTCCTTTTATGGCCTTCACCACAACTCAAAAGCGTGGCCAAACCCAGAGGTATGGAGGTCCGGAGGGGATGGGAGGAAATGATCTCTGAGGATACCACCTCCCTCTACACCCACCTCTGGATAGTCTGTCCCCAAGTGGATCAGAATCAGAAGCTTGACCTCTGTCTATCCTGGTCCTGCTGCTCTCTCTCTGCAGGTATATGATCCTTTCCGGTTTGCACCAGATTCTTCCCGACACAGTCACTCATTCCTGCCTTTCTCAGGAGGAGCCAGGTGAGGGGTCCTGTCTTGGTCATGGGATGGGGGAAAGAGGAGTCATCTCTGGGCATATACCCAAAGTTTGTGATCCCTTAAGTTGCTGTACAGCATCTTCAGGGATGGTGTTGTTTGTTGGTGTTTGTGGGAAAGAAACCTCATGTGGGCATGTCGGTGCATGAAAGAACGATGGCACTGCAGGGCACACCACGGACATGCTGGTCCTCTGCCCTTCCCGAGGTCAGACAAATTTCACTGTCAGAGGGTGTCCCACACATCAGCATGTTCTGGTGTTTTTCTCACTTTAAGGATATAACTTTGTGAATTAGAAATTCAGTTGCGGGGATTCTTACCAGGTGGAGCCCTCTCTTCCCACACATTCTAAATCCAGCCCACCACCCTTTCTGTTCAAGTCACCAATCCTCAGATCACTGAAGGAAGTGACGACTTTGCTAGTGTTTGTTTTCCCAAGGCCTGGAATGTGCCAACTGTTCAGTTAGAGACTGAAAGGTGAGCTATTTGAAGAAAGTGTCCCACCAGTGTATATGGCCCCTTAGCCTCCACGTTTGCAGTCTCTCCCAACATGATGTTTGACTACATGTTAATGTTCACATTCCCCATACAACATTCCTAGTTGTCAAAATTTGACAGATGAAGTAAGGTTTACATACCTTGAAATTACACTTACAGTCCAGCTTCAGACAAAAAGCATTAAAATGAGGACAGTAAACTGCCTTTGAGAGAAAGCCACTCTATTTGGTATGTGGCACATAACATTTGAAAGCTTCCTCCAAAAGGGTTCACTCCAAAAGGGCTGCTGCCTTCATCCACAAAAGCTGCTGAAATCATCCAGTGAGACAAAACATCATATAAATTTTACTAAAAGCTAATAGAAGTGGGCTTTTTTCTCAGCCCATATGCCTATGAATCCTTCAAATGGTAAGTCAGCTTCCATAGAAGAGGCTTTAAGCAAATTGTTTTTCCAGAAATTGGTTTTCTAGGATTTGTTTAATTCCGGGACTACTTCTTCCTACGATGGCTGCAAATCATGTTGCTGCCACTAGGGGTCAGGAGAGTATTAGATAGTTTAGGTCAAAACCAATATGGCCTTTTGTGGTATTCCATTCTGTTTTACATTCCATTACTAAATTTAAGTGAACCGAATTTTTAAAATCAAGTGACATTAATTAACTTATTTAGTGTAAGATAAATTATTAAGCCAGCCTCTCTGTGCCAGGTCCTATATAGGCTAGGTGACAGGAACATAGAGATGAAAGATATTATCACTGACTCCAAGAATTCAAAGTCGAGGAAAAAAAGTGCATTCTCTAGAGACAAATACCTAAGCTTAAGACACATTGTTCCCTTCTTTAGTCTTTCACTCACTCATCTGAGCAGTTTGTAGAGTATTCCACATCCCTAGCACTGTGCAGACTGGCCCTGGACTATGATGTGTCCTTAAATAAAGCTTGGACGGCACCTTTAAGGCCTGGGAGGGGGAAGGAGAGTCAGCTAGCATGGGGTGAGGACCAACTGATCACTGATCTGAGATTTTAAGATATGTAGGCAGAGATGGAAGGGAACATTCTCTATGATCCCCACAGCCTGAGCTGAGCTAGGAAGTGAGACTGGACAGGCAGGAGGTGGGTAAGGCAGCAATCCAGAGAGATGTGGAGGGAGCTTGGGCATTTGGACATGGAGAGCATGATGGAAGGCATAGGAATGTCTGAGTTGGGCTGTGGCTTGGTGTGTAGGGAGAGGGACGCAGGAACACCAGAGGAGTCCAGGAGAGGATTCAATCTTCAGCTAAAGATGGCAAATAGGGACAGTTCTGTAGTATAAGTAGAAGGCTACAGATACTAGTGGAATGAGGGGGTTAGAGAGTGGCAGGAGCCTAATCACCCTGTGGGTGGCAGATGGGGCTGCAGCTCAAGGATCCCCAACCCATCTCCTACTCTAGGAGCTTCTTCATTGATATCTGGCTTCCCTATGAGGAATTCAGTCCCTAGATCCTCTTAGATGGAATGTACAATCAAAATTAATTATTTAAGTTATTCATGTGATTGGACTCTGTCCCTTAGAGTACTGGTGCGGTTCTAATAGAAATTTCCTGCTTCTGAAAGCAAAAGTAGCATCAGGGCCAGTCTTCAAACAGTCATAGACCTTGTCAAAGATCAGGAGAGTGTGAACCAAGGCTTGGAGATAGAGGAATGTGTGATCTGTAAGTAAAGGTGTCAGGCAGGCCCCATGAAAGAGGACCCTGAATGCCCAGCTCTGGGCTGGTGCTCAGGGACCACTGCCTGCCCAGCCTAGAACAGGCCTAAGACCAATGCTTACTTCACTGTCCCTGCCTGGCCCAGGAACTGCATCGGGAAACAGTTTGCCATGAATGAGCTGAAGGTGGCTGTGGCCCTGACCCTGCTCCGCTTTGAGCTGCTGCCAGATCCCACCAGGATCCCCTTTCCCATTCCGCGACTTGTATTAAAGTCCAAGAATGGGATCCACCTGCGTCTCAGAAAACTCCACTAACACTGGTAGGTCAAGTGCAGGCTCTGAAGGCCTCCTAGCTGTGTTGTCAACTGCTCCTGTCCCCAGCCTATCTGCCCACATCCTGCTTTCCCGTCTACCTACCTGCCTTTCTTCCCATCTGCCTGTTCCCTGTCTTCCTGTCTGTCCTCTCACCTGCCTCCAGGCTCCCTACCTGTTTGTCTATCTACCTGTCTCCCACCTGCCTACATCTCTGACTATGCACATAACCCAGCCTGCCTGCCCCTCTACCTGTCTTTTCCCTTTCCTCCTACATGTTTCTCTCTCTGAGTTTCCTAACACTGCTGTATTAACCACAACCTTAGTGGTTTTAAATGATGGGAATTATTATTCTTTTACAGTTCTGGAATCAGAAATCCAAAGAGGGTATCACTGGTATCACTGAGAGAAGACCAAATTGTGGATGTAAACAGCCTTCCTCTGCAGGGTTTAGAGAGAATCTTGACCCTTGACTTCTCAAACTCGAGCTGCATTCCTTGCTTTCCTCCATACTGGCTCCCTTGTACTTCTTTGAAGCCAGCATCTTTTCAAACTTCTTTCTCTTACTGTCTTCACATTTCCTTCCTGTTTGTAAGGAACCTTATAATTACATCAAGTCCATCCAGGTGATCCAAGATTATTTCCCCATCTCAAGATCCTTTACTTAATTAAAACTTGAGTTCCTTTTGACATATGAGGTAACACATTCATGGGCTCTAAAGTTTAGGATTTGAGCAACATTAGAAGCCAATAATGAGCCCAACAGAATCCCTCCCCAAATGGCACCTCATCTGTCTATCTGAACCTCTCCTGCATGGTTTCTGCCTACCTGATTGTCTTTCACATAAACCTCTCCATCTCCCTCCTCCCTGAAATAAAGTTCCTAATATCACATGTAGTGCCTGTCTTCCCTTGGGAGGAGATAGAGGGAAAGGGAGACAGGTGGGGAGACAAGTCTTTTCTGAGGAAGGAGCAGGAGATGACATTTGCCCTGTAGTACCAGGACTGACTCCTGCCTGGTCCACCTCTCCAGACATCTCACCCATATGAACCCTGATGCCCCATAGCTGATGAGGGTCCCATGTAGTGGCTGTGTTTAGAAAAAAAATCTCTTGTCTGGGAACTCAGAGGGAGAGGCTTACACCTTTTGGGGAAAAAAAAAGACCAGGCCTCCATTCTATTCAAGGAATGTTTCTCATGCTAGATTTTTTTCAGAATAGGTCCCAGCTAGAGCCCTTCTTGAGTTGAGCTGAGCAGGAAAGACTTGCAGTCCTGGTCTGGCATGAGACCTGGGGGACCTTTTTATTTCTTCTTTTTTTCTTTTTGATGTACTGGGGATTGAACTCAGAAGCACTTTACCACTAAGCTACATACCCACCTCTTTTTATTTATTTTATGTTGCAAGAGTCTAAGTTGCTGAGACTGGCCTTGAACTTGAAATCTTCCTGCCTCAGCCTCCAGAGTAGTTGGGATTATAAGCATGCACCACCACACCTGGCTGAGGACCCTGCTTGTCACAGACCCAGTGAGATGCAAGAAGAGAGCCCAGCCTGGCCATGTCATCAGACACCTGATAACCCACGAGTCCCAGCCTCCTCAGGAGGTTCAGGAGTGGATAGTTTTCCAGTAAAGGCTGGAAGGAACCCAGATGAGCAAATGCCTGGCCACTCTGAGGAGGGGCTTCATTGACCTTGCTCACATCTGGTAACTGCCTGGACGCCAGTGCTTCTTGCCCTGGGATGGCCCCTGTGTGCCATCCAAGCACAACTGCATCTGCTTCCCTTATCTCTGGGTCTTCAGCACCCATGTCCCTCAGTACTCCCACCAGGCTCCCTGGGCTGGTGTCTGTACTTCAATCATCCTCTCTCAAACCACACCCTGCTTGTCTTGCTGGATCTGAACACAGGTTCCCTTATTTCCTTGAACCGTTCGTAGTTCAGGATGCCATAGACAGACTTCCCTGGAGTCCTTCGCCTTCCCCAGTATCCTGTGCTCTGCTTCACGGGAAGGGTTTCTCCCCAAGTTGCCTGAGCCAGGACCTCCTTCCTTGTTTCCTGACCTCCTAGGTCACTAAGCTGTTCAGTCCTGATCTGAAGAGGGGCAGGAAAGGGCTGGACATTTGGTGCTTGACCAAGGGGAGAGGAGAGAGTTGGGGCAGGAGAATGAGCAGCGAATGCTACAGGAGGAGGTTTAGTAGGTCCCCGGGTACCAGATGATACATAAGGGTTCATGCTGGCCATACTCATAGAGAATAGGAAAATAGGAGCTCAGAATTCTGGGTTGCCAACCATGGGCAGGTGTTCTAACCACAAGATTCCAAAAAAAGTGTGTTGCCAAAAATTTGACCCTGTTGCCTGCAAGTAACAGGCAAGAGCCAGGCTGATTCACATTCATATACCCGCCTCCCATGACTCAAGCACAGAGATACTCGTGTAAACCACTCCTACACACCCATTGCCCACTCCACACTCTATCCACACACACATATGCACATACATGCCCAGGATTACAGGAGACAGAGGGTTATGTTTAGAGAACTAGATGGATTAACAAGAACTTAACTGTGCTGCCCAACAGTCCCAGCCTCCCTCTGCCCTCCCGGAGGTAGCCTCCCCTCCCCTCCAGCGCCAGAGCTCTCAGGTCAATCTTTCACAGACACATACTGTCAGGGAGATTGGCAGTACTAGTAATGGAGTCTTGGTCAACATATGCCTGAGTTAGGAGGCCCCAGCTCGTTCCTTCTAGATAAGCATCACAGGTTCCTTCCCTTAATATTGAAATGGGATCACAGACTCCTCCCATCAGGAGGGTCATCAACCCTGCTGACACCAGGTAACTGTCTGAGGGCTAAATATCCAGAGATAAGGGAAGCAAATTAAGTTAAGCTTGGGTGCCACCCAGGGGTCATCATGTGGTTCCCAGTTTGAGGCCCTCCCCAAAAGCCCTTTGCAGCTTCATACCTCACCCATAACTCAACACCTGATTCAAGAAGGACTTTCTTTCTCCCAGCAAGTCCCCCTCTAATGCCACTTTGCCACCTTCCCCAGCCTAACCCTGAATGCCTAGAGCACTGTGAGATATCACTGCTGAGAATGGCAGGGATGCCACAGCGATCCATCTCAGGAGGGACAGAGACACCCTGGAGAAACCATCTTCCAATTCCTCAGTGTTCATGGGGTGCAGGGGAGGGGGGGGGGTGTGCTTTAGAATTATCCATAATTTTTTTCAGTTTTTGTTTATGTGAATTTCTGTTATGTCTGTTATATTCCAAACCACCCACACACACACACACACACACACACACACACACACACACACGGTTAAAAAAAGAAACACATCTCAATGAAGGGACAATGCCCTGAGCCGTCCCTCCATCATGAATCCAGAGGCAGAGCTTCCAATGCAGTCACTGAGGCTGGAATGCATGTTTTATTACATTTTAGAACAATTGTCAATTATGGGACATAAATTTTCTCTAAGCAAGTAGGTGCTCACTAAGTGTTTGTTGAATGACTGAATCAGCTCTAGAATACATGCATAACAAGCATTTATACATACATGTTGATGTGGCACTCTCCTCTAGGAAGCTGTCTATGTTAGTGCCTATTCCCCTTCCAAATTACAAGCCTCCAGAAGCCAGAGAGCCTCAACCACTCCACATCCAACCCAGAAGGCAGTGTCCAGGGAGAGCCCACTGCCAGGGTTATCTGGTTCCTGGTTCTCTATAGAGCTACTTCCCAGGCCCACGGCCCAGAGACTTCAGGTGGAGATGGATACCATTCTTGGAGCGCAAGATCAGCTGGGGCATCTTGATGGGCACCCGCGAGGGATCCAGAGAGAACTCAAAGCGGTGCAAACAGAGGGCCGTGACCACCTTCATCTCATTCATGGCAAACTGCTGTCCGATGCAATTCCTACAGTGAACAGCACAAAGAGATGTTGCTCCCTGGAGTGTTGAGATTGGTGAAATTCAGGACTCTTAGTAGCCAACAGAAATCGATAACTATTTTTGGTTGTGAAACTGGCTGGTGGATTGATTGATTTGGACTTAAGAAACAGATCTTGGGAGAATGATGAGGAGCCCAGGCTGAGTAGCTTTACACTGGGGATTCTGGTTTGAGGTCTCTCCTGGATGACTCACCCATCCCACCCGCTTCCCTAGGACAGGAATACAATAGTAAGAAAGTTCCCTGGAGTTTACCCTGCATGACGGTACCCACAAACCCAGCATGGTCCCCCTCATCATGAAGCACTCCATAATGATGCCTCCCCCATGATGTCCTGCACCCCCCTCCACAGCCTTGAGAGCCTGAAGATGCTGGGTTTCTTCCTACCTGGGCCCAGCTGAGAAGGGCATGAAGGCGAAGGGGTGGCGTCCAGACATATTTTCAGGGGAAAAGCGCAGGGGATCAAAAACCTAAGGGATCATGCTTTGTTTAAATATCCACCAGGTCCTGGCATAGTATAAGCCCCATACCCTCCCCCACCCAGTCTGACTCCAGGCCCAGAGATGGAGTACCTCAGGGTCAGGCCACACTGCGCTGTTCCTATGGAGGGCATAGATGTGCAGAGAGATCAGGCTGCCTGTAGGTGGAACAGAGGCCTGGTGACAAGGTGTTCCTGGAGCAGCTAGGTCCCCTCCACATAAAGGCTAAATCCTCTACTATCCACTGCCAGTGACAGACAGCTTATGTTCACACTCATCAAAGTAGCTTGATATCATCATGACTGGTTTCTATAGACCCAGCACTGGGCATGGTCCTGACACAGACATTGTGGAAAGAAATAAAGGAGAAACGAACCCACCCTACCATAAAGTAGGACAGACAGGGTCTTAATATCCTTGCTGCTTTCAATGAACTCTCAGTAAGTTTATTATTCATAAGATTATGTTATTAATAGTAATAGCTACCAATCACTGGTATGTCCTATGTGTTGGGTTGGGTGGAGGTCTGCACACTCTTTACAGAGCCATCATGTATTGCTGTGTATGTTGTACACTGCACAACATCATAGTCTATCTGTAGTGAATCTTGCCCCCTGAAGTTGTCTAGAACTCAACCTGGGTATGCACGGTGGTATTGGAGAGCCCTGATGAACATTGTCTCTTAAATCCTGACAACAACCTTGAAAAGTAGCTATTCTCCTCACCCCTATTTTACATAAGAAGAAATGGAAGCTTAGAGGTGGAGGAATTAATTAATATGTTGTGAAGCTGGTTTGACCCAGGTCTCTGAATGCAAAGCCTGAGCTCTTTCCCTTTGGTGCAAAGATTTGACCAATAATCTAGGAGGTTTCTTAAGAGGATCCAGAGGACTCTGATTCTACTCCCACAAACCCACCCCATCCCACCTGCAGGCAGTGAGCGACCATCCACAAAGTTGACAGGCTTGCTAAGCTGGCGGTACACCTGGGGCACAGGTGGGTAGAGACGGAAGCTCTCCTTGATGCACATAGTCAGGTAGGTCATCTTGCCCAGATCATCCCTGCCAGCAACAGAGGACACTTGGGAATGGGGGGTAGTAGAATCCTGGAAGAAAATAGACCCCAGCCCCAGCTTCCCACCTCACCACCATCATCCATCCAAGAGTCAGAGGGGGCACAAAAGCTCCAAGTGCCCAGCCAGATCAGACACAGTGTGGCCACTCAGCCCCAGCAATCTGGCTCCACTATCTCCCATCCCCTCCTCATCTTTGCTGCTAGGAGAGGAAGGCACAATACCCTAGAAATGTGTGCATCCAGCCATCAAAGACAAGGACAGATCTATGTACATATCTCAGGACCCCATCAAAGCCCCACAAGGGACAATTCTGTAGGTTCTGCTAGTTTCCCCTGCAGACTTGAAACAGAAAGGACAGGAGTGTATGTTGATTTAATTAACCAACCTATATTCATGAATTGTTCAAGGGGTACAGAATGATAAACTGATAAATATACACACATACACACGCACACACACACACACACACACACACTACACACGCACACTTGGTCACCAGGAAGCCCAGACTCAAATGTGAGGTCCAACTATAACTACTGTGAAATATCTTATTACAGAGAGCCCCAAACTCCCAAGTTATTTTCCCTCTTGTCCGGATTTTTCATTTGTTGTATTGTTTTATTGAATATGTGTCCTCTAAGTTGCTTCAAGTTCTAAACAGGATGAAGGGAAAGCAGAAGGTTTGAACTACCTTCCTCAGGGTATGTTCGCATTGTTGCCCAACTGAAATCCTCTTTATAAAGTCAAGGTGAGCCCCACACCTTCTGATGCCTCTGTCCTCAATATCCAGGCCTCTCAACCTTATTCCTCCCTCTGTTTTTCTCTAACTTTTCAGTTATGTGAATTTGTCTATAAAAACTTCCCAAGAATAGCAACTTGGCTTCTCCTCCTCTTCCCATTTGCCCCACATATACTACCTGTCACCTGGCTGGATACCCTGGAAGGTTCCTACATCCAAACAATAAAAATGAATAACAGAGATTCTTCCAGGTCTCAGATCCTAGACTTACATATAGGTCAGACCCTTCTAGTGAACCCAAAGTTCCTCCATTGACTGGACACTTTATGTACCTCTGCTATGTGTCTTGTCTGTCCTAGAGGCAGTTCAGGAGCCCATAAAGTTGAGGTGCCTGGCAGGACACAAAGGCCTGAGGGGAGGAGGCAGTTGGGGGAGAGGAGGCTGTGAGAGATTCCTAGAGATCACACTGCAAAAAGAGTTTGGGGCCAATCAGGTGCCGTGTTCAGGACTTCAGTATTGAGCCAAGAAACAAGGTGGAACATTTGGAAGTTTTTAAGAGATGGAGTTTGGGAAAAAGTTCTTTGTCCTTCACCAGAGGGAAAAGATGTAGGAGTCCAGAGGCTGTGTACTACCACCCACAGGCAGGTGACAAAGGCTGGCTCTCCCTACCGCCTTAGCAACTTCCTCCTCTTTCTCTCCCAGCCCTCCCTGCTCTGTCCAGGAACCCAGAAGGGTATTCATGTTCTACCAGCATAGAAATTCAATTCATAAATATCAGCCTCTTATTGATAACTTTCTCTATGTGACAATGAAAAGGCTCCATTTGGGAGAAGTGGGCTGCAGGGTACATACACGCTCAGCCACCCACAAAAGCCATAGCACCAGAAGAAACAGGTCAGTCACCTCACCTCATCTCCAGGCACAGGACAGGATGGCACAGGACAGAATGGGCACAGCCTCTCCCTGGGTTGAGCACAACAGACTGGGCTCACTCTCAACCTTACTCACCACTGGAAGGAGTCCTTGTCCCCTAGGATCTCACGGACCTCCTCTCTACAGCGCTGCTGATGCTCAGGGTATAGAGCCATGCAGTAGAGAAACCAGGAGATGCCACTGGTGGTGGTGTCATGGCCTTCAAACATGAATGTGTCCACTTCAGCCCGGATGTCTGTGTCTGATAGCCTGAGCCCATTTTCATCCTGGGTTAAGGGGTAATGAGACAGCTCAAAGCACTTGAAGTAGATATTAAACAGAAATTGAAACAGGAGTTATCAAATGCAGATATGGAGGAGAAAGTGAAAGCTGCTTTGCAGACTGGGAGTATGAACTTCCCATCTTCCAAGCCCAGCCTGGATGCCTCCTACTCCAAGAAGCAATCTCCCATCTCTCTGACCAAATGACCTGTGACCTTACCCTACCCCAACTGTCAACTCTGCTCACTTGACACACAGCATGCCACCTGGCAGGGGAAGATATCTTTGTCAACATCCACCAACTATTCCCTCTACTAGACTGTAAGAACCTGGAGGGCAGGGCCAGGTCTTTCCCATCTCTATACCCTAGTGCAAAAACAGATTCCATGCAGGTACTCAGTGAGTTTATAGAACAGAAAAATAAAGGACCAAATGAATAAAGCCTAAATTCTAAGATTCTACAATGCCAAGATTCTTGGGGCTTTTAGAAGTCTGGAAATATCTTCAGGCTTCTACCATGTAACCCAAGCTCTCAGATCTCTGATGCCACAGCCCAGCCAGACACACCCTGAGTATCTGCAGCTTTGTTGATATGTGTCATGGGACAAGGAGCAAGTTATATTTACCAGGTAAAAAGGTAAGGAGTACTTAACAGCCTCTTCTGCTGGACAGCTGGCCCTAGGCAGAAGATCCCTCTGTGACCAGCTCTCAGTGGGATTGGGCAACTACATACTCACCCGTGCTTCCAAGAGAATATCCAGGAAGTCCAGGTGTTTCCTTTTCTGAATCTTCTCCTGCTCCTTCTCATCCTTCAGGACTTCCTTCCGCTTCCTGATGACCTGGTCTGGGCCAGGAGCACAGGTTGTGCTGTGCCTGGGAACCCATCCTCTGCCCAAAAGGGAACTGAGGTCCTATAATAGGAAGCATGCAGAGGGGCTGGGAGGAAGAACCCAGGTTTCCTAGGAGTGGGCCCTGCAGGGAAGACTCACCTGTATGGTCATGGGCCATCTTGCAGGCCCACAGGAAGCGGCGGCCATGTGGGGTGAGCCAGTAAATGAAGTCGTTGTGGTACTGGAAGGACTCGATGCGCTGCTGCATCAGTAGTGTGAGGTCACTAACTGCCAAGTAGTAGTTGTTGTCCCTGCACAGCAGAGGGTGCACGGAGGGCAGAGCCCTGAGCAGCTCCCTTCCAAGCATCTGGCCCAAGCACAGCACCTCCTGCTCTTCCCCTCCTTTACCCTTAACCCTCCTCTCTAAAGCAAGCACCAGCAAGGCCTGGCTCATCCCAACAGGGCAATAGGACAGGACACAATCTGTTCTTCAATCTGGGCCCAAGAGCCCTGCCAACTCTCCTCTGAGCTGGCCTGGGATAGGAATTAGGAGGCCAACCCCAAAGTGTCTGCTGACCTTTGGCACAGGCCTTTCTCTCCTTTACCAAAGGTGCATTTCATGAGTGTATCCAGTGCCATGTGGCCCACATCACAGAAGATGTCAAAGCTCTTATCCTCAAGAGCCTTTTTCTCCCATTTGTCCTGGAACCCAGAAATGGGAGACAATGTGGGGGTCAGCTGGGATGGATGCCTCTCTCTCCCCTTCAGGACCCATAACCTCCCTTCTGCCACCAAGCTCCCCTCTATGTGTACTCCCAGTCCCTGCCCTGCCCTGCATGCTGCTGGATTATGGGGTTTGGCAACCTCTGGGCATCAGGTCCATAATGCAGGACCAGGAGGCAGATCTTGCAGAGTGTACAGAGACATTCTCCCAGTCAGAGCAGCCAATGAGGGAACAGGTATGCCAAGAGGTGGCGAGCTCCCCAGCACACCTGCAGCACACCTGTGCACATCAGGCCTGCAGTAATGCTGGAGGAGTTTCCTACAAAGGAAAAGACTAGCCCTGGTAGCCTCTAGGAATTCTCCAGCCCTGAGACCCTAAGCTGACTTGATATCCCTCTTAGAGATAAGTTGTAGCCACATCAGGGATAGGAACTGTGATGAGCAGAAAATGAAAAGGAGACACTTTAGATGTGAAGGACTTTCCTGATACTCTCAAATACAGGCAGCCCTCAAATCTGCTCCAATAAGGCTTTTATTGATGCCTCCAAGAGCCTTTTGGTCTGACAAGAAAGAGGGCTGGACCTCCTGATGGAGACAAAACCAGGGCTACCTGGACCCTGGGGGTTTTAGCACCTAGCCAGCAGTGTCATGCAACAGGAGGGCAGCAGAGCAGGGCATTGGTATTGCAGGCAGAAGGTAGACTCAGGGACTTAGGGGATCTCCCAGCTACAGAGCACCACCTTCCCTCCCCCAGGGCAAAATGAGGGTACAGAGGGCTAGCCCATCAGCCCACAGCTCCAGGAGCCTGCCACGGGGAGCTCACCAGCATGGCATGTGTGCATTCAGCAAACACAGCCACGTAAGGCTTCAGCACATCATAATGGAAGCCAGGTGTGAGCAGCTTGCGGTGCTGGAACCACTTGGGCCCATGAAGAACCAGCAGGCCTTTCCCTGAGAGGAGATTAAAGATGGAAGGCTGGTGAATTCAGGCAATCCTGCTCCAAACCTAGCACCCTGGGATCAAGCACTCCCCATTTCCCATCCCCAGCCTGAAACCCTCTAGGGTGGGCCACTAAATTACCCTCTGTACCCCCACCAACTAGGCACACAGAGGCAGAAGAAGTTCTTGACTGAGAAAGCTTCTTCTTCAGGGCAAGATGGCACAGCTTCTGCCCCTCAGCAGCACTTACAAAACCAGGACTCATAGAACACCGAGCTCACACAAAGGAGATTTGGCCCCCTAGGGACAGACAGGCAGGAGGGAAGCCAGCTGGACCTTGGCTGTTAGCTGCTGGGACTGTGGCCACAGCTTCAAGACCTAGGGGACAAGCTGCCATGTCTGTGTTTTGTGGCCTCAGGTGGAACCCTATCCTCCTTCCCCCCGCCCCCCACCACACACACATACCCAGCCATGGAAATGCATTCCTATCTTCAAAACTGCATCTCATTTTCCTAAGCCTTTTGTCCTTTCTTTTTATCCTCCCTTTGATAGTTAAAAATAGAGTAATAATCACTGAAATCCGCAAAAAATAAAAGACTTCCCTGTGTTTCTCTGTGAGTCGATAGTGTTGAGACTGTTTTCTTCCTCTTGCGCTCTTCTCAGCTCCAGGAAGGTGCTGATCATAAGTAAAAAGACTTTGGAGAAGCATATGGCCTTGGTTCAAAAACACTCAATGTCTCCCACCTAATCTCAACATCAAACCACAGTCCTCATGCTGATAACAAAGGTAACCAATCCTCCCTGTGGAGCCTCATCTCCGAATTGAGGTCTGCTTTCCAGTCACCCAGAGCTCTTAGTCTCTGGTGACACCAGCCATGGTCCTACTAGTATAACTTTCCTCTGAACCTTGCCCCAGAGAGCACTATCTACTAAAATGTCCTATAGAGCAACTCTAGAGCCACTTTCGTCATGCCCACACATATCCCAGAGCCCTACCCCTGCCTGGAAAGGAAGCAATATGGCAGGCCCAATAAAGGAGGTCCTGGCCCCACTTCCCTGCCAGCCAAGAGCTTTCCTGCTCCTCCCACTGAGCTGCTGAGCCAGAACAGACACATTGGGGGCTGGCCTGTCCAACTGATAGGATCAATGACTCAGTGAGGCAGACAGGGCCAGATCCTGGCCACCCAGCACAAAGGGTGAGAAAGGAAAAGAAGGGAAGGCAGGTGCTCACTCACCAATCCACTGGAGAAAGAAATCGTACACATCCGGGGCCTTAGGGTCTGCAGTAGAAGTAGAAGTCGGTCAAGCAGGGATGGGGGTTCCCAGAGGAGGCTCACTGATGAATGGGGTTGGGACCTTCACCATCCTCTTCCCAGACTTAGGACAGATGCCCAGGCTCTGAGCCCTCTGCTTTCAGAAAGCCCCACCTTCTCCTTGAGGTACCTTACCCCCACGGCTGTACACAGCTTTGGCATAGTCAGGTTCATAGATGTTCAGGAAGCCAAGGAACTGTCCAAACCAGAGTTGGTGGGCATAAGGGAACTGGTGGGCCCAGGATACCACCCTTTCCAGGAAGTCTGTCTGCTTAGCCTGAAATAGTAATAGAAGGTCAGGAACCCAGCGTCACTAGCCAGGCCCTAGGTTGCTAGGCAGAGAAGAGAGGAGGAAGCCCACGCAGCTGGGGGCTCTCTCCCCACTCCTCTGCACACTCTCTCCTCAACAGCTGGATGCAGTGCCTCCTCCAGCCCCTCAGCCACTGCCTTAAGTCCAGGGAACCTTGTCTGATCCAAGTCACCACCTCCACAGATCCTGAGGATTGGGCCTATTTTGGTCACCAGCCATCAGCTGTGCCTTCTCTGGGGTTCCCTCTCCTCCCATGCCCCCTGAAGTTTGGTGTATTCTCCCCCAGAGGTTCATCCCTCAGGATCCTGAGTTCAACCCAAGATGGTTGTAAGAGTTCTCATCACCCTCGAGCACACGTTGCCAAAAAGCACAAAGTGAGGGAAAGGTGAGCTACTGGAGACCTAAATTGACCAAATTGTGTGCATGTACAAATACATAACAATGAGTCATCCCACTATTATATATAATACAATGCCAATAAAAATATTTTGTATATATATTATATATACGTATATAATATATATTCAATCAAATAAAACCCCACAAAGTGATAAAAATCATCTTTACCTACAATTAAGAGGGAAAATTCTAGTTTGCCTTTCAAGCTCTTATTCCTAAAAGTATTCCTTTTCCTCATGTCTCTTATTTTTCCATCCACCCTCCTAGGTTTTCCTTATCAACTTTCTGATTACCAGGGCCACTTCCTTTTTCCCCATTCTCCCAGGTCCAGGAAGCCAAATTGGATGTGGCAGATAAAGGCTTAAGTCACAGAAAAGCCAGACTCATAGTATCCCAGCACTGAAAAGAGCCTATGGCTGATCTGGTTCATCTGCACCCCATTTCCCTCCTTATCAACCATGCTTGTGTCCTTCAGCATCCCTGCCACAGACAGGAGACCCTGACCTCATGCTGACCCTGACTTCAAGTCACAGTCAACTTGCCGTAGACTCCCTGTGCCACCGATTGCCCCAGGAACCTAGGTCGAGTGAGGACAGCTCCCAGCATTTTTCCCCAAACCTGCATCTGCAGCCCCTCCAGGAGTTCTGGGATGTCTTCCTTCTGGGACACATATGGCTGCTGGCCAGTTCTTCTCGGTTATACAACAGGTTGCATCAGACTTGTCCTCAGATTCCCTGAGCTAAGACATTTACTCATAACTCTGGGACAGTTTGTTTTTCTCCATAAGGAAGGAAGCAGGGGGAAATCAGGATATGGAGATAATTCACTGAACCTAGCTCCCCAGCCCCACCCACCTCATCCTCTCATTTGCACTCCTTGTTAACCCTACTAGGAATAAACAATAGGAGGGACTGGGAAAAGCAAGCATTAGTTATCCCTCCCTGCTCTACTCCCCAAGAGTCTGAATAGGTTTTGCTCCAAGAATCAGATCAGAAGAGGACATCAATATTGCCTAGTCAAACTATGACCTCTTTTTATAGGTGGGAACAGCCCAAAGTCCAAAGGGAATTGATGTGGGAACAGTCCCACATAAGTCAGAGTCAAACAAGAATCATGACTGAGGCTCTTCCTGCTGTCTTTCTTGTTAGTAAGACTTCTTAGGCCACCAGACAGTTGTCCTGAAGCTTAGCTGGCCAGTGTCCAAAGAAAAAACTACCTGCTTCTCCAATCTACTGTAGCCACAGCGCTCCCAGTTTCTCTCTTGAGAACCAAAATTAATCTGTTCACAAAATGGTAAGGACATTAAAAAAAAAACAGTTCGGAGGGGAGAAAACAGAGATTTCCTCTTCCCTAGCAAGTTGCAACCTTCTGAGTACAGGTCATGTTGATCTCAGTCTCTAAATATCACAAGTTGCCTGGCCTCAGACCTCCACCCTCCGAGTATCTCTACGTGTGAGAACCTCAGACACCTTTAGCGACAGGAAACTTACTGCTTTTCAATGCAACCGTATTCAGGACTGTCAAAATTCTTAACAAGACTTCTTAGTCACTGGACTGAAAGTCACCTGCCTGGAGCCTTTCCCGTGCATCTCTGCTCTACTCTCTGGAACTACTTAGATCCATGTTTTGGATGAATGAATAAAACCCTTGGTGACTTAATTCGGGGGAGCAAAGCCATTCACACACAGGCTAAGCAGCAATGGCAGCATCCCCTTGGGACTATTAAGCAGCTCTTGGGTCCCTTGATATCCTGTTGTCTTAGGTGGTTTTTTTGTTTGTCTGTTTGTTTGGTGGTGCTGGAAACTGAACCCAGGGCCTTAGGCATTGGAGGCAGGCACTCTACCAACTGAGCTATATCCCCAGCCCATCTTAGGTGTATGGAAGTCTCTACATGATATCCTCCAGGTCCCTCAAACCCAGCATTTTGAAACTAAAGTGCACACATAAGTTTATACATATCATGTTTTCCTCCAAAATCTGTACCTAGCCCCATCCCATAGAATGGAACCACCACCCATCTCAATGCTAGCTAGGAATATGAAATATGATTTCTTTCCATGGTTGATAGTGACAGCAAGGTCCCTGCTATCCTGTGTGGAATCTGGCTCTCCTCACTGCAGGCTCTACAAGTGAATTTTACAGTGGAATTGGCAAAACAGAGCTAATAAAACCAGATGTAGCAGCTCCAGGGAGGAGTCTCCCACCATGAAACTCTACAAATCCAGTACCCAAGGGTCCCACACCCTAACAATGATATGTGCTGCCAGCCCTGAGCCTCTTCTTCCTGGGCCTCAGATCCATGCATATTTGAATTTGACAGAAATTCATTGCTCTGTTTACAGTCCTCCAAATCCCATCCATGTGGCTCAACGGATCCTTTTCTCTCTAACTAATATTGCCAAATCCCACTGTGATTGATATGGATGGATACCTCAATTTAATAAAGCTCCAAGGGCAATCTTTGTCCCCTTTTCCTAGTGGTAAAGGGGACTTCACTGATACCTTCACATCTGTGGCAGAGGCCTTAATACCCCTCTCCTTTGCCCACCGTGCCCAGACCTGGACTATTCTACCCCTCATTCCGCTCCATTCCACTAACTGCCTCCTCAGCATCTGTCTAGATTATCTCCACCTAACCTTCCTGGCTCCCAATTTGCCCTGCACCTGACCTTCCTATCCACCATTTTCCCACCACCCTGGCCCCTCGCCTCCTATTTGCCTTCCACCCTGGCCTCTCGGCCTCCTGTTTGGTCTCTGTCAATCTATGCACCACAAGCTTTGTAATTTTTCTCAAACACAAGTCCAACCTCGGTCATTCCCTTGCTTCAATGGCTCTAACGTTGTTCTTGGGGGAAAAAAACATAGCCTCTTGGCCTGACCACAAGTATGTACACGACCTGCCTCTGCCCCCACTTGCCTCATCCTCTCTATTATGTCCTTGTTCTCACCTTCCAGAAATGCTGAGCTACTGACACAGGCACATACTAGAACTCAAAAATTAAATTAATAATCCCAGTGATTCAGTAGGCTGAGGCAGGATCACAAGTTCAAAACTAACCTCAGCAACTTACTGAGAACTTATTTCAAAATAAAAAAATTAAAAGGGCTGTGAATGTGGCTTAGTTGTTGAGAGCCTCTGGGTTCAATCCCCAGTACAAAAAAAAAAAAATCAAATTAACGTCCTAAACACACAGTGCTCTTTCCAGCATCTATGCCTATACCCAGGTAGCCTCTTCTGTCTTTCCTTCTGCATTTCCATGAACTTCTGCCTCCAGACCTTATAAGAGTCACCTCAATATCACCTCCCTGGACCTATTCTGACTCCCAAGCTGAGAGGTCCCTTCTCTCAGCCCTAGGATCCATAAAAATGTGCTGTGTTATCCATCTCTCCCTCAGATCTAGGTCCTTTAGTCTTCACCCTCCGATCTCAGCATAGGATCAGACATGGAGTTGTTGGTCAAATGTTTGTTGCCCGGGAAAAGAAAAACCAAAGACTGGATTTATTTGGAAGGAAATAGGAGAACAAAGGAAGCAAATATCTTGGGGTGTTTTGCATCAAAAATCCCTCTACAATGATTTAACAGTAGACATCTATCTGCTATCTTAGCAGCTTGCTAAGACTCCATACTGTATTCCTTTTGATATTCTTCTAACTCCAACACAGCAAGTTGAAGGTGATATCTCTATTTTATCAAGAAGAAAATGGAAGCATAGAGAGGGGAGTGATTTACCCAATAGGGCACAGCAAAGGCCCATTGTCAATGTTTGCTGAATAAAATGAGCCAGTGTCTTCACTAACCCATCCAGGGTCTATTCCAGGGACTATTCCAGTGATGGGCAGGGCCAGGGGCAAGGTCTCAGGGAACTCAGGGGATTACCTGCCCTTGGACTGGAAACAGGCATGCTCCCCTCCACACATGCACACATTTGATTTGTCAGCTCCTCCCAGAAACCCCAACCCTAGATCCACAATTAACACCTAATATGTGCAAAGTCTTCCTTAAGCCCCAGAGCAGAATAAGAGGCACTCTACAATAGGAACTGACCTATCCCAACAAGACACATTCTAAGAATTGAGTAGGATAAAAGGTAGACACTCCAGGGCCTCATGATTGGAGACCAAAAAGGGAGAAGCCCATCCTGATGGACAAGTCCATATCCAACACCTTTCAACCACCAATCCTCTTCCTTCCCTTCCCACTCGCATCTGCACCAAGTCTAGGAATCAAACTTGCAGTTACTTTTTATGGATCAATCATGTCCTGATTTAAAATGCAGGAGTCCAGGGCCCAGCCTTAACTCAATTTCTGAGCTATTGTATGGATTTAGGCAAATATTTTTCCCCCTCTGAATCTCAACTTCCTCATCTTTACACTAGGGAAACTAATCCTCCCCCCTCCCCACCCTCCCTATTTCTCAGGTTCAGGTGTGGATCCAAACAA